TTGCGCATGGTTCAGAGTCTTGCTAAAGAACATTAAATAGTGTTTCTTCACGTCGACCCATTGGAATAACGCTCCCCCCAAACCGTAATCGCTAGCGTCGGTTTCCAAGTTCAATGGTATACCGTCGACCGGAAAATGCAACGCCACTGCATTAACAACTGCATCCTTCATCGCCTGCCACGCCTGTGCATGTCTCTTTTCCCAGCGATCGCCGATCAACCCCTTCGGTTTGAGTTTGCAAAAATCGTGCAAAAAGGTGCATCCGTGTTCGCGAAGTTGGGGAGATGCTCATGATGATAATTCGCCAATCCTAAGGCAGAGGCTATATCTTTGTACCGTAGTGGGGTAGGCCGTCGATAAGCTTAGCCTGCTTCACATGATTAATGTCTATGCCTTGTGCCGACAACTTCTTTTCGAGGATCATCACTTCAGGAATAGCAAAGTGGCACTTGGCGGGGTTAAACTTAAAACTGTGGTGCGTTAAGCGTTGAATCACCTTCTGCACCGTCTGAATGTGTTCGTCATAGTCGTCGCTGGCGATAACTATATCGTCGATATAGTGGTGGACCGGCAAGCCGTCCAATATCGTGCTCAAGGTTCGCTGGAACTGTTGCGTGAGCACATGGAGTCCAAGCGGTGCCGATGTAAACGAATATTGATAACGCTCGTGTGTGCAACTAAACAAGTATTGTGAATCTGGTTGGATCGGTAGCCTATGATATGCCGTCGATATATATAGCGTAGTGTAGTACTTCTTACTCTTGAGGCGAGAGATAAGTTTGTTGACCTTTGGAATCAAGAACCGGTCACCAAGAATAAGAGCGTTGACGGCGCGCATATCTAAACATACGCGCACCTTCTTCACGTTCCCTTCCGCATCGAATGTCGGGACCGCAAGGAGAGGGAGGTTAACGGTCGGTTGTCGGTGTCGTCTGTTTCGTGATCACCAAATCCGCCAACCACTTCTTCACCTGTTCGTCCACGTAGGGTAGCCATCGGTCGGATACAAAGTTACGTGTTGATCTGCGCATGTGCATCGCCTGTTCACGGGTTACCGGGATGGTAACTTCACTCCCGTCCAACCGACATCGCGCGTTGTAAACAATCTTCGCGTTCGCCTCTAAATCCTGTGCCAGCCGTTGGCATGCATCGGCGGGTTCCGTCGTGTTCGGTGCCTGTCGGTGTGGGATAGGTTCGAGGAGCTCACCGAGTTCTGTGGGGTCTTTTGGTGTGAGTGGTGATTGGATACAGCCTATGTATAGACCCAAGCCTTTCAACATATCTTGTCCCACTATGATGTCTATACCTGCCGGTAAATTCATCAATTCCAGTGACCCGTCGATGATCTTGGTCCCATACCGAATGGGTACCACTTCCATCGTCGCCAGTCGAGGAGTTCGAACCGCCTTGTCAGCTAAATAGATGAATGACCCAGGAGGTGCTAAAGTTATTGGGCGGCTGAGGAGGTCTGCGGAGTGAGATACAACTTCTATTTGCTCCCGTGTCTATCAATGCTTTGAACGTACGTCCGTTGACCTGCACTTGAATATAAACTCTGATATCAGAAGACAGCAATGGGTCCTGTATCACCATCACTGCCCTAATAGTATTAGCAAATGTGAAGCTCATATCCGACTCAGACACCCTCACATCTCATGCTCGATCGGTTACGGACTCCCATACACCGTGGTCCTGGTCTGGTTCCGGTGCCGTGTGCCCTAGGTCTTCCGTGAGTATCGTGTTGATGTGTACCTCTGTAGCTGCTGATGCAAAACCGTCGTCGTGTGTAATCGCATTCACTTGTACTTGAGAAGTCGGGCGCGTAGTGATCAAGTCTCTGCTCGGGGTGTGTTGTGCTGCCCCTGTCCTGAGGTTGGAGCTGCGGACGGTCTGTGTGCCGGTTGTGCGTCTCGTGGTGTGCGGTTGTTGTCATACGGCCGCGCCCTACTGTCTGTACCCCCTGTTGGCGACACACGGAAATGATGACATCACGGAATATGACGTGAACCTGGCGGTGCTTGTGCCTGACATCCAGCACACGTTGTAGGTAATGTCGGTTGGGGTCGCTGTGCCCAGTTCTGTGACTGTCGTCGAACCGTCTGCGGATTAGGGCGGCTATTGGTATAGTCACGAGCCCCGTTACTCGGCCTTCGCAATTCTTACGGTTCAAGAGTCGCGCCGTGGTGCGCTGCTGTGCGTCCTGAATGTTGGGAGTCAATAACTGTAGAAGCTCGTGCGTCGTCATTAATTGCCATTTGGGATGCAATTGTAGAGTACGTTCATACGTACGGCCGTTGAGAGCTTCCTCTAATAGTTGAACAATGCAGTGGTTTAATAAATTCTGTTGGAAATCTGCATCCGTCTGGCACCGTTCACGTGCCCTCCTGTGGTTCTCCATGAGCTGTGTCATTTGTTCCATGATAGGGGTGTACATGTTTCGATTGTGACCCTTGGCAAGCTTATGAACCACGGGATCAACAGTGGCTTGCATCTCATGCGAGCAGATCTGTTCGATTTGTAGTTGTGGTGTCCATATCTTTAATCGTTCAGAGTTGTCGCGTATGTAATCCAATGTTGACTTCTCAGCCTTAAAGTAAGATAATACCCTGTAGAACCATGTAAGGTTCCAACTCTCATCTAGCCCTGCGATTTGCGCGTTCTTAAAAGCCTCCAGTAGAGCCCCTCTCGTATCCCGTTCCATGATGTCATGGAGGTGGTATCTATTCGAGGGACAGTCGGACCATGTACGTGGTGATGGTACCGGACGCTTTTCAACTGGACGGGACTCTAGCGTGGCTCGAAGCGTTTCGATCGCTCCCCTAGGAGCTTCATCTCGAGCCGTATTATAATCCTCTATTGCCTGGTACAACTCGTCGCTCAGGTGTAGCATACGTGCATGTAACACCTGCCGACATTTCTCAATACTCGCCGGTGTGGGTGGAGGTGTGGGCGACGCCGTCTCTGTTTGCTTGGGAGTATGTACATGCTCACTGTCGTCGTTGCTGGTCTGCCTATTCTTGAGCGCTTCCTTCCCGGCCAGCACTTGCTCACGTGCAAATTCTTGGAATGACGGAGCTTCCTCCAGAGACGACAAGGTATCTTCCTCCTCAGAGAATTGACCTTCCGACCCAGGTGATTCGTACCCGAGTCCATGGTGCTGTTTTGAACGGCCTTGGATACGAAACGTGGGGTTGTCCTCCTTACCTTGTGCCATATGCCCTCGTTTGTGTGGGCTAGTCGACGCTTCGGTCGCGGACAACAATGTCGTGGGTCGTTCTGAAGATGTACGCAGCTACCTCTGTTCGTACTTCTCTAAGAGCAACGTTGTTGTACCATAAGCTCGGTTAGTTTATGTGTCGAAGACTGGCCCCGCACCGTGCCCTTGTTGTTGGAACGACGGCGGTGACGCCTGCGCTTATTAGGTGGTAGGAGTGGTTGCCCTTTACCGGAAGATGAGGACGAACGGGAAGGCAGCCCATCACTAGCTACATGTTCACCAGAAATGTACTGCTCCCTGTCCGCACGCAGGTCGGGATCTCCCTTGGCCTCGGCGTTAATTACAACGTCTTCCTGCGATAGGCTGATATCACCCCTGGGTGTCTTGGATGCCTGTCTACCGGTAGCCACTGCTTGGTAATGAACATTTCCTGGTGCATCCTGTGGCTCCATCCGCCCTTTCTCAGCTCGTTAGTCGGTATAGTCCGTGACAGACTGGCGGCGCTTAGTTCCTCGACGGTATATGTCGTCTTCCTCCCGACGTTCAGGGGTAAGATGTTGCTGCCGACGGCTTTGACGTCGGTTGGACATACTAATACGTTGTATATATCAGTGGAGGTTTGGAAATGTGTGTCGATGTCCTCGAAATAAATATGGTATAAATACTTCTCCGCCCTAGAGATCGTCTCTCGACACTGTTTGCCCGGAAAAGTTTATCCCGTGCCCTACACTGCGTTCCTTTTTTGAGTGGTAGTTGATTCGTGCCTATGGTGTCGTGTATTCTTCGACGCAACACTCGACGGGGTACACCCTACATTCCTCGTGTGCTACTCCAACCTCCTGGTGGAGTCACACCCTTTTTCAGCGACCTACTTTTGCTCCTTAGAGAGCTCCTATGCTCTCGCCTTACTCCTCTTTTTTCGCCAACCTTACTCTCCCGTGCAACTGCATGTGCCGCTGCGGCTATCGTTATGTATCTGCCTAATGTAGGCCTTACGTGCTCTACGGACCCCTCTATATACTTCTAAATACTGCTTGGTACTTCCCTTCGAGCAGTTCTAACACGACGTCCTGCTTAGACAAGTAAATCTTAGTACCTCTGTGGCTTCTGACTGCTCATTGTGCAATTTCTACCTAGATCTCCCTTATTCTAACGAATATCATTTCTGTCTTCATACCGTAACTTCTAAGGTAGTTCTTTGATATACAGTGATCCTCTAACTGTGCTGTTAGTCCGTAACTTTCCAAGATTCTACTGCTAACCTCTTTGTTCGATGCACCTGGATACCATTTGAATGCGTATATACTCTTATACCCCTTCGATCTCTCAATTTCGTCAGGAAGAATCTTTCTTTAACACGTTAGTGACGCACCCTTCTTATGATATCATAGCATTCAACGATAGTTGTATACGCTGTCTGTTCTTCGTGTTCTTACTTACTTTCTAACCATAGTTTAGTCCCTCTTGGTACATTCGAAATGGGACATTGCTAACTACTTATCTCTTTCCTTTATCTATTCCTAGAGTTAGGTCGTATTTCTTGTAATATTATATCTCCTTGCCCCACTTTACCAAAGGAGCAACAATCCTATTTCTAAACCCGACTCCTTCTATGCACACTACCCCTTAGATCTTACTCGCTGTATATACTGCTTCCATTTCTCTATCGCAATTCCTACTGAGCATCCTCTGACTAAAAATATTTCTAAAACAGGGTTCTAACTCGATATCTACCCTACAATATCACCCTTATTGTTTGTTTCTACAACACATAATCACAAAACTATTCTTCACAATCGTTTCTACTTAACTGATCGTCTGGCTGAACCCTCGGCTTGGCCATTTGGCCCTTCTGGTCCTGCTCATTTCGTTCTTGTACTTCTGATGCCTTCTTCTTTTTCGGTTGCTCCTTAGGTTCGATCTTGGGCTCCTTGGGTTCGGTCGTAGTGTTAATGCCTGCCTCCGTTCTTGAAGTCCAAGTAAAGTTAGGTACCTGTCTAGGAAGTCTAAAGCGTTCGAGCTGTCTAGCCATACTGATTCTATTGAGCCTGAAGCGTCTATTGTTCACCTCAGATTCCCTTTGCTGATCCCACCGGACGTGCTGATCGTTCGGTCTCGGCGTCTCTTCCGCTTCGCTGCCACTATTCGACATCAAGGATGGTATTGTGGCACTAGCATCACTACTTGTGTACCCGCTATCCTCTTCTACCGCGGGTAGATTCTGAAAGATGTCGACATTTCGCTGCGCCATCTTACTTTCCCTATTCCATTCGATGTTTTCTTTCTTTGTTCGTCGTATTCCTATAGAAATTTATATATATATTTCATTTAATTACTATAAAGTAGCTTATTTCTTAATTACTAATAAACTCACAACTTCTTTGGCAAGTCGAAAATGTGGTAAGCGAACGCTTCAATAACTGTATCGCAATGTTCTCCCTCCGTAGAGAGGGAGACGTTGTTCATTTATTAGTAATTGTAAAATTAATGACTCTAATAATGAGTCATAAGTTATGTGCTGTGATAGTCAGCAAAACCCAAGTTTATCAGATTATTCTGATAAACTGTAAAAACTATAATAAAACTAAAATTAACAAATACACCTAAGTATTTGTATTCTGACCACAAAGGTGAAATGAACAAGATGACTGCACCATATGGCGGGACCCTACAAAATAGTATGCATGGAGGGCAATGGGCATTTTGTTTGTATCTTTGATGAGACTAAAGCTCAAGAATATCCTAACTCGTAAAAAAGACCAATGCTCCGGAATCATTTACTTCTAATAATCACATACAACCAACCGAGGAGACACAGTTCTACTCGATAGTCGGCGACAGGCCGTCCATCCGAGGTGATGGATCCCAGGAGGACCTACTACATTGGACAGATGAGAAGCGTACTTGGGACGCATGAATCAGACATCACAGATGCTGATACTCTTACACTATACCGTCAACGCACTCGACGCAAACGAAGGCAATCAAGGCCCAAAAAACCACGGACAACAAGTACTGATGAAAGATTAGCGAGCAACAGAAAGCGCACGAGGCGAGGAACCTAAGCAAGTCTTACTGATACCCCGGGACACTCCCACTTTTCTCGACTTGAGGCATGCTCCGCCCACATACCAGAGGGATAAGGACCAAAAACTCAGCTGTAAAGCCGCCGTTGAGATGCGTTTTCCTAAGTAAAGTTGAGATCAACCGAGAGCACCGGTCAAGACTGACTCCGACGAGCATGGTAGAGAACCCCCGTCATAGTATAAATTTGATTAATAGGTAGTATGTAAAAATAGATAATGTGGACAGGGTTTTCATCTTATGCCCCCTAAGGGACAAGTTTCGTCCTGTACAAAAACACCAACCTCCAAATAATCTAGTACTGTAAGATGCCACTTTCTACTCCTACGCAGGCTAGTAAGCTTAAAGTTTGTGGGTTTTTTAGGGGTTTCAAATAAAGACTCAGTTCGGTTCTCTGAGACTAGGGGCTTTTCCTAGCTGAGATAACCGTACCTTAGAAGAGGTCTATTGTATCCCTTGACTCGTACCTTTCAGCTACTCTCCATACTCTACATACATCACAAACAAACAAACAAAAGGACACACATAGTAAAGCTAACAAATAAGAAACTTCATGCGCACTTCAAATTGATGCCGAATAAAAATGAGGAACAACATCTCAATTTTTTTTTTAGCACAAATAAGAAACAAATCGGAACAATCCATTCCACATGAACAGTACATGTTGAATACCAACGAATCAACAGTTCACAAAGTCAACCTGAGAATAACCTATACGTGATCTAGACGCAGATAAGGACACACGAAACATTGTAGTAAGCACAAAACTTGCACACCCACGGTTACATAAATGAGACCCGTACGATTCCAAACAGAAAGGTCAAATACTCAGAAATCAGAACTTTGCAAAACCATTGAAGTTCTGTACTCAGAGGGAGATAGAACTTCCTAAACATACAGAAGTTTATACGGCTTCTAGATGTTCAGAACTCAAAGACGAAGACAAAAAATAAAAATAAAATCAACAAACCTCAATCCAAGGTTAACACAAGAGAATCAAATTTCACAACAGAAACTTCGTTCACGACAGATAAACCGACATAACCCCCCAAATAAACCCAGATAACACGGAGACCGACAGTTTAAGCTAAACAAGCACAAGGAATCACAGTCAACACAGTCACCAAACACCACGCTGGAGACACACATAAAGGTAATCAATCAAGATTGATTCAACATGTGTATGTAAAATCAGCGGGTTCCTATGTAGAAGCACATGTTAACGTAAAGTATAACCGTATTAACGGTTAAACGCTATTATGGTTATAAAACTGGTATACGTTGAAACGCAATTGTATATATTTGTATCTGTAGAATAATCAAATAATCTAATTATAGATATATTGAATTGGGAGAAAACAAGCAAACAAGTAATCTATTTTGGGATATTTGGAAATATAATTGTATACGACAGAGGCCGGAGACTGTTGATATTGATAAGATGGTTTTTCTATAATGATATATTTTCCATCAGAAAATTGGGATATAACAATTGGATGAGTCTCAGGTGATATTGACACTCGATGACACATGTTGTATTATTGAATACTCTCAGCGCGAGATAGCCCACTGAGAAATGGGGCATGAAAATGATCCCCCCTAGCCAGCTGACTGAGACTGTTGATATTGATAAGATGGTTTTTCTATAATGATATATTTTCCATCGGAAAATTGGGATATAACAATTGGATGAGTCTCAGGTGATATTGACACTCGATGACACATGTTGTATTACCGAATACTCTCAGCGCGAGATAGCCCACTGAGAAATGGGGCATGAAAATGATCCCCCCTAGCCAGCCGACTAGATGTGCCCGTCTATGCCTTCAATGGGATGGAGAGCTATGTACCATGTGATGGGGTACAGGTACAGACATTTCACTGTACCATCATGGTGTTTTTGATCTATTTTTTATTTTCTTGAGTTGGACTTAGAGCTATTTTATTGGTAAATGCGATTGGAAGATTGTTTCGAGGCATGAAATGATATAGAACGAAATATCATACATTCAATGAAATGAAAATCTGATCTTAGTTACTGACATCAAATAATTCTAGACCGAAGTATTGAGTGATTAAAGACAACAGTCTCAGTCTTAAATCCCCAAATCTTTAGCTCATTACCAAGGGCTGAAGCTAAACTTAAAATAACATTGTGCAAATTTACTTTGAAACCGTACTTTCTTTTACGTTAACTTATTGACATCGATAGTCAGCCTGGTTAGTCTGACTTTTACATGTATTTGGGTAGTGTAAACAAATTTATGTTGACGTCAACAAATGAATACTAACAACATAATGAATATTCAACCCACAGAACAGTCAATGACTTCTGCGCCCTACCAAGGGACTCGAGCAGCACGAAGGAGCCTACGCTCACAAGTGAGCTCAACTCGCACACACACGCAAAGAAGGGGCACAATGCCAGATTTCCAAGCATCCTCACGCACCTCAACTCCAATCAATGGAGAGAGAGCGATGCACATGGATGATGACCCCACACTAGCAAGAGCACCAATAGACCCAGCAATGACGATGGCAATGCCTATATTATAGGCATACTAGTGGACAAGATGCACACACAAAAGGCGGATACGTGCACTCCACAAAATCTGTAATGCAGCTCACAATCAACAGCCTAACAGTTTGATAGCGAAGTAGATCAATGGTTATCTGAGCTATACAATAAAGATATGAAGAACTGTGATAAAAGTGATCACGATGATGTAATAAGCCGGGCCTCCACATTGGACTCTATGTTATAAACGTACTCCTAAGCAGTACGTAAATTATAGAACGTACTCTTACTAGTACGAGGAACTTAAATTTCCTAAATGTTTGATGATCAATGGTTATCTGAGCTATACAATAAAGATATGAAGAACTGTGATAAAAGTGATCACGATGATGTAATAAGCCGGGCCTCCACATTAGACTCTATGTTATAAACGTACTCCTAAGCAGTACGTAAATTATAAACGTACTCTTAATAGTACGAGGAACTTAAGTTTCCTAAATGTAACTACAGGAAGAGATGTTAACGGCATGTGTGGGTTTGTAAACTTCTTTTCAGATGGAGTACCACACTTAGCTGATTACCTTAAACCTTTTGGACACTTAAGATGTCATAAAGGCAAACTAGGAGACTTGTGGACTAAAGAGTGTGATGACGCATTTAAAGCGCTCAAACACGCAGTCCAACAAGCCCCAGTTGTACAAGGACCAGTCGATGGCGTGCCGTTTGAAATAGCAACGGACGCCTCCGACTTAGTCTTAGGAGGAGTATTATATCAGGTTATAGATGACAAACCTAGATATATACAATTCTTTAGTCGAGCAATGAATGCTTCACAGTTGAATTATCCAACTGTTAAACAAGAGCTATTAGCCATAGTGGCAGCTCTAACACACTTCCGAGATTACTTATACGGAACAGCATTTACGCTGATGTGTGATCAGAAATCTCTTCAATATACGAAAGAGATGAAACCCGATCCACAATTACTGAGTCGCTGGCATGATACAATATCAAAGTTTCATTTTGATATAAAACATCTGCCAGGAATACATTACCATTTACCCGATATGTTATCACGCTTTGTACCGGACTTTAATAAATCCGTACGTGAGTTACTAGCCACTGACTGGAAAAGTAATCCCAGGTGGTTTGAACTGGCTCAAAAGATATTTGGGCCACATACCATAGATAAGTTTGCTGCACATCATAATGCACAACTATCGAATTACAGGACTTTAAATCATCCTTTGGGAGATGCCTTTCAAATAGACCTCTCCAAACATAATGCGTGGGCTAATCCACCATGGCAGTTAATTCCCCAGCTATTAATTTGTGTTCATATACATAAAGCTACCATCGCGTTGTGTTGCCC